TTAAGTAAATGACCAGCTTCCTGTGCATTTATGACAAATACACATATACACAAAGAGACTCAAAGCAGTATCTCAAAGGTTATCAAATCTAAACACAACTCGTATTGGAAAATCTTACATATGCTCTCTAATTGTTCATGGGGCATTACTACACATGACAAGCAAGGAAAATCGGAATGGAGGGGATGAGGTTTTTCTTTGCTCAATTATAATACCTGACCAATATCGATCATCCTCAGTTCAATAACCTTCATATCAGTCTCCTCAAATTGATCTGCAGATTCAACAAAACTCACTCAGAATCTTATCAGCCTTTTTGTAGAAACTGACAAGACGATCCCAAAATTTAAGTGGAAATACAAAGGGCATAAAACATCCAAAACAATTTTGAAAAAGATGAGCCCAGTTGGAGGACTTATTCTTCCTGATTTCAAGACTTATTATAAAGCCACAGTAATTAAGATAGTGTGGTATTGGCATAAACACAGACATATAAATCAATAGGACAGAATGAATAGTCCAGAAAGAGTCCCTAATATACAGGACCAATTGATTTTCAATTTAAGTGCCAACAAAATTCAGTGGTAAACGAATGATCTTTTCAATAAATGGTGCTAGAACACATGTATATCTATCTGCAAAGAAATTAGACCTCAAACATTCCCTCACATCATAAATGAAAATTAACTCAAAATGGAAAAGGGAAATATGCTGGCAAATATAAGTGGATGATGATTGTTTCAAAGAATGAAATAATAATGTCTTGCTGATTTTTAAAAATATGTAGAATTAAAATACTAGACAGGGTAATAAATATTGTTAAAATACTCAAAGTTTTTATCATTATTGATGAAATGGTAAAGTAATAATCAAAGATACAGGGTATAATTTTCTTCTTCTTCTCCCCAAAGGCTCCCAGGACATAGTTGTATATTCTAGTTGTAGGTCCTTCTCGTTGTGCCAGGATATAACCAAAAATTAAACTAAGATAATTCAAAACTCTTAGTAAAATAGAGGAGAAAATGCAACAAATAAAAAAAAATATTTGGCAAATCCAAAAGAAGGCAAAAAAGGGAGAAGTAAAACAAAACAGGTGGATATATAGACAAAAATAGTCACATAGACATCAGTTGGATTAAACGTACTAAAAACTAAGGTTGTCCCACTGGATTAAAACAATAACGAAAACCTACCAACTGGTTACAAGTGACATGTTGTAAATATAAAGACACAGAAAGTTTGAAAGTGATAGAAGAAATGAATATTTAACAGTTTTCCTCTTCAAAAAAAAAACACTAACCAAAAGGAAGCTTATGTAGTTAAATTAATGACAGATGGACAGACTTTAAGGCAAGAAGTAGTGTTCGAGGCAAAACAGGACATGTTTTTCTGATAATCTGCCAGGCAGATATAATAATTCTAATTCTGCATGTACTAATAATATATCTTCAAAATATATAAAGCAAAAATTGCTAGAAATAAAGAAGAAATAGACAAATTCACAGCCACGGCCACAGATATTAACTAATCTCTCTCAATAGCTTTTAGAATCAACAAATGTGCCCTAACAGGCACTCAACCCTTTTGGAATGCACATTTCGCGGGTGCACATGGATCATTTAGGAAAGTGGACCACAGGCTTAGCATAATGCAAGTCTCAATTTCTAAAATTGAAATTATTTAGAGCATGCTTTCTAACACTGTGGAATTAGACTAGAAATCAATTAAAAATTATAACTAGGAAAGCATCAACAGTTTGGAAATTAAATGCATTTAAATGGATTCAATTACAACATCATTCTCATTGACATTTCACTAAGCTTTCTTTAGTGGGTGAAGAGGGACAGAGTTACAGAGAGGAAGTCGGGAGTTACTAGTAGCTTGGAGTCAATTTGAACTAATCCCACAGCTAGTAATGCAGACATCTCCCTGGGAGTATTGACTCAACATTGAACACATATGTACTGAGAATCTTCCATGTGTCAGGCACTGTTTGAGCTGTTGAAAAGCCAAGCCTCTACAGTTAGTGAGTTCACACTCAAATGCACAAATAAGATAGTTTGACAGTTACAGTGCCTTGAAGAAAAAAGTACAATAAAACCTGGTGCTGGGAAAGAGTAACTGGCACGGAAGGGACGTGACTTCAGCTAGATCTGCCAGGGCATGCCTTCCTGAGGTGATGAGTCCTCAGCCTTAGGAAGACCCTGCCATGTTTCCAAGGAAACACCATTCTCTGTGGAGGGCTCAACCAAGGCACGTCCAAGGATGGTGTGACCAGAACAGTAGATGGGGTACAGAAGCCTAGATAAGAGAGAACAAATCAGAGCAAGGTCAAACATGGTCCTGTAGGTTACACCACTGGAGAGATTACAGCAGGAAAAATGATTTATGTTTTTAAATGATCACTCAAATGTTTGGAGTTTTCTGTAATAAAGCATGACAGCCAGTTAGGAACCTACTGCTGTATTCCACGGAGAGAGAATGGAAGTCATGTGGTATGGCTGGGCTCATGTATGTCAAGCTCATGTGTAGTATATCAACATGCGCGGTATGAAGAAACTCCACTGTTTTCTCATGTATGCAAAAGCCAATATTCTCTGTGGCCTTAAGAATTAAATTTTTCATGTGCTGCTGTTGGAGAGTTTCTATCAGTTTGGCCTACAAAGTATGCTTAATATTAACAAATTACGTAAATATACAACACAAAAGTATTGAAGTGTTTCTTGCTCCTACATGATTGTTAGGACAGATACAAATATACAGCCATTTCACAAGGAGAGAGAAGCAACATCATCAAGTAACCAAAGGCAGGAAAGACACTTTTAAATGGGAGCTATTTCTGCATGTTATTGGCAATTATCAACTACAGCAGGTGAATCCAGAACACAAAATTGCAAGAAAAGCTTCCTTGTTTCTTAACTACTTTTTAAGAGAATTAATCCAGACAGTCCAATAGCAGAGTTACTAGCACAGCAAAGGTGGAGAAGGCCTAGCGACATACGGCATTGGAAAGGCCGATACTCATTTAGAAGGAAGGATCAGTACTGAAATGTTCAAATTAAAAACATTTGTTTTCTCCTAAAAGAATGGGGGAAGAAAAAGAAGGAAGAGACAATAAAAGTTACTTTTAAAAGGCAAAATCAATAGCTACTAGTTTGAGAGCTCTTATAAGATGATGTTTTAGAGTTGCTAGCATAGAAATAGCAACAAACTCGAAAGAACAAATGAAAAGTTTGATTGCGCTTGTTTCATCACGTCAAAGCAAATTCCTGATTATTTTGAAAGTATAAATATTTTCTCCAAATTTGAACAAGGCCCATGTGTTCACGTGCAAGTGATCAGAGCGATGCGCAAGTTGGAAATAACCATGTCGTGAATAGGTGGTTAGAATTACCTCAGCATCTGTAAACATTATGAGGTTAGGCAAGAAGATATGTTTTCTAAATTTTCACGATGTCCACACTTTAGAAAGAAATTGACCACAGAAGAATCAAATACGTGGTAGGTGATCATTTATCTAAATTTCTAAACTCTAGAGGCATCCAAGCATCCACATACTGTTAACTGCTCCAAATTCAAAAAAATTGATTTTAGTACAAAATTAAGAAGGAAATACCATAGTGCAGAATAAAAGAGGAAATCGTGATCCTGCCGAATGGCAGAGAAGAGCTGAGGCCCTACTGGCCTGAGTCAAGAGAGGGTCAGATCAAAAAGGTCTACAACACTGTGTCATGGTGGATTCAACAGTAATGTATGTGCTAAGATAATTTTCAGACATTTATATTTTGGCAAGTCACAGCTGTTCTATATCTTTAAGTAACAACACATAGAAATATATATATATATGGTATGTACAGATGCTTTTGCATAATCACTGCATTCGTTCACAGTTCATATCTACACAGTGACAATTAAATTAATTTGAAAGTGGTCAGGCCTTAGACATTACAACTAAATGTTTCACTATATTTAAGAAAATAAATTTAATGGTGAAAAACGGGATCCTGGGAAATTTACAAACTCAGAATAATCTTATGACATTAGAGAGTTGAGATGTGAAACTTGTAATGATCTTGAAAATTTTGAAGTAGAATATTCACAATATTTTAAATTTGGTTGTAAATTTCCCTAGTTATGGACATATAGATGCCTCAAAACTACATATAATATAGTCAAATCCCTGTCTATCTTGTTGCCTAGCTCATGGGTTTTTTTATTATTCATTGTGACAACTATTTTGAATATTTTTCGAAATGCATTTTCTTAATTTAAAACTTTTTCTTTGTTAAATTGGTTTTGCTCCTTTCCAGTTATCAAAAAAGCTTTATAATAACAGCATTTGAATATTCCTACAAATTTGAATGTCTTCATCAAGAATTATTAATTTGCCACTTTCAATACATTACAGAAGAATATTTCATTTTACATTCACTCAATGTAAAATTAATTCAATTTTTATTTTTATTAAATAAGTTTTTAATGACTCATTAGATAGTGCAGCTTTTACATAATTAAGGCTCTATTCTTTAAGTCAAAACCAAAACTGAACAAAGGAAATTAGATAGCTTTTTTCCTAAAACAAAAGCCAAATAAATTTCAAGTAGATTTCTTCATTCTTTTAAAACCTATTTATCACTGCAAATGGGGAAATCAAAATCTCTTCTTTTAAGAAATGTTTTTCACAAAAAACAAAGCAGTCAGCAAATGTATAATTACATACTTCATAGTCAAACCTAGGTAAACTCTGGATAAAGAAATAGGATACACTAATTTAAAACTTTTTTCAAGAGTTAACATTTTAAATTTACCTACCACACAAAAAATAAACCAACTGTCCTGCATTTTTTGAGTCCTCTGATCTCTCAGTCAAGAACACATTGTTTTTTTAAAAGCCAGGTTTGGAGAAACTATCTTTTCAGATAGATGTAATATTGCATGCTGCCTGAATTAGGAAAGTATTCTAGCCGAGTAGGGTGGAAATACTACACCTTCTTTCCTACCTGGGTAAAGAAGGGTTCATAAATCTCAACGCCTTTGTCAGATCCTTGTAGTAACACCTCCTGGCCGCGTCTCCAGCTGTACCGGACAGGTGGGTTGGAATTGGCAACGCAGCGGAGGAACACCGTTCTCTCATAGTAAAATTGTTCTTTCGCTTCGCCTATACTTTGATGCACAGTTACTACCGGATCATCCAAATCTAGAAAAATAAAAACAACCAAGTGACAATGTTATGAGTTAACATGGCTTGTAAAGTATTGCACATAAAACTAACCAAAGATGCGTTTTCCTAATTGATTATATTGCTTATCACTAGACATTTTTTTCACTGAGTTTATTGAACTCATTTGCAGAGAAACTTCCAATGATAGGAGATAAAGACAAGTAATAGCTATTTCTTAAGATCTCTATTTGTTGAGATGGTACAAAGGAATTTGCATATTTCCGACATTTTCCCAACAGCCACATAAAACAGCTCCATGAGAGAGATTAGAGTTCAAAACCCTCAAATTCAAGAGATTAGCCAAAACAATGAACCATAATGACAGAGAAATAAATGTCAAGCAGCTCAATTAACTCTTTCCCTTAACATACTTGTTTTTCAAACTATTTATTACTGACACATTAAAAACAATCAAAAATTGTGATTACAGATTATTCTAATATTTACAGTAAGAAACTACGATCTTCTACTGGGTTAAATTTTTCTTTCATCTTAGATTTTATATCCTAGATCATATTTGATACTTTGAACTGTGCTAAGAGAAGGTACTATTAAAAGGCATTAATATTTCTATTACTGAATATTAGAAATAAATTTTTGCCATTTTACATGGATTCTAAAGAACAGATATATACCAAGGGTTTAATGAATATTTTCTGGAAAAAAAAACAATTCATAAATATCTTGGGGTTTGTGGGTCATACAGATTTGTCTCAACTACTCAACTCTACCACTGTCGTGTGAAATCAGCCAAAGACCACAGGTAAGTGAGTGAACAAGGAATGTGGCTGAGTTTCAAAGAACTTTATTTATAGATGTAGGGGCCCCACCCAGATTTGGCTCCTGGGCCACAATCTGCCATGGACCGTCACCCCCTGATATATCATATCCCAGGTTCTTTTTTCAAGAGAAAAAGAAATTAAGAAATGTACTTGCTTTAAAACAACTGTATCGTACATTTGAAAGTTGCTAAGAGAGTAGACGTTAAAGGCTCTCATCAGAAGAAAAAAACCTTGTAACTACGCATGGTGATGGATGTTAACTAGACTATGGTCGTGATTGTTTTGCAATACATATAAATATTGTTTTGCAATACATATAAATATTGAATCATTATGTTGTACACTGAAACTAATGTAATATGTCAATTATATATCAGTTAAAACTGGGAAAAATAAAACAGCAGGCTCTTGGTTCCATGTGCTAGTATAAATTTAGTATGTACTTATTAAAAGTGGTACAAACATTTGCTGTATTTAAATATTAATTTACCCCATTTATCTTTATAACTCTGAAAGGTAACTTCACTTTTGTGGTCTTGCATTTCTTTACCAATAAAATGGGAATAACAATTGTAGCATCTTATTACGGCTACTGTAGGATTAGATGAGATTGTCCATAAAGCCTTGGGGCACATAGTAAATACCCTATAAAAGTTAGTAATATTATTTTATCATTATTATTATCATGACTGGGGTTTTATTTAGACTCCCAATAATTGTATGTTGTTTTCCTACCTTTATCTCACCAATCCATAATGCACTCAACTCTCATTTTAAACAGGTAAAAATGCCCCTTTCCCACTTGTTTAGGCTCTGAAATGTTTCTACATGACAAATATTTTTATGTGAAGCTCGAAAAGAAGCTACCATATTCATAAATACAGAAATAGTGAGGTGTGTGAGCATATGCTACTCTGAATATTTAAAAGACATTGTTCCTTACAAAAGATTCTTTTCGATGTGTTAAAATAATAAAAAGCCAGTAAACGTAGTGAAGTAATAGTTGCCCTAAGGAATCAAAGCACAGAATCTCAAATCTCTCCAGTTTGAAAAGTTGTTTTTTCCAAATGTGACTTGCTTGACAGCTCTACTTAGATTTCTAGTTTTGCAACACTGAGGTTTTCTTTTCCAACATTAGAATCTTTTCACAGCTACCTCAAAGGGCTCTAATTTTAGTAGTGCAAATTTGCAGAACAACTGGTGCCTTTTGGGGCTGTTTCAGGCAGTTCCAGTTCACTCCATTAGCTGTGCAGGGGCATGTGCAGTCTGGCTTAATAAGTTGGAGAACTCAGAGGTACCGACATCATCATCATGAAATGTTTAAAGGGCTTTGAAATCCATCAAATATTTGCTTATTTGGTGATTAGGCCTTCACACAGAAGTTAGTTTCTACAGAGACTGATTAGCTGAAAGCAGCCTTAGTGACTTGAAAAAAAGGTACTGTGAGCCAGTTGTGATCAATTAATTTTTTCTTGTACAAAACATAATTCTTTTAGTTATAGTCTCATTATTGGAAGACAGGAGCTGTGTTATGTTGTGAAAAACACAGGAAGAGAAGAGAATTGGATGGAACACACTGTGACAATGGCGACTCTCCTTGGGTTCCAAATTGTTAATCATATTGTACTTCCCAACAACCATTTATTGACGTGTCCCTAGCTCTGTTGTCAGGCAGTGGTGCTGAAAGGCTCAGTCAGGAACAGATCAAACCTAACAATCGTTTAAACATGCTCTTCCCTGATCTAGATGAGTTTCGGGTCACCAGCCTTCTGAGAACCTAACCCTGGGCCAATGGCTTACTGAACGTGGTATTGGCAGAATTATCTGTTGGATTCTCCCATTTTGGGAATCTCTACTTCATAAAACTCTTACATGATAATTTTTTAGATTTAAAAATAAACATGCCAAAAACAAGATTTCTTTTAAACAAGTCAAATAATGGCATGACTAAAGAACAGATTTAATATATTTAAGTAACATATATCACATATGTCATGTATATATCACTGAAAATATATGTTTAATACACATTCTATATATTTCTGAGTGGAACTGAATGTGTGTATTTGGCTTAGGTGAGGTTTCTTGGAAAAGAGACTCCAGGACAGAGATATGTGTGAAGGAAGCACACTGGGAAGGACCTTCTAGATCAACACATGTGAGGGAGTGAAGGACGCAAGATTGTTGAGGAAGAGAGTTGAACTACAGTATAGTTGCCACAAAGATCACAGGAGCTCTAGAGAAGTTTTGGAGCCCTGATGTCCCCTCAGAGCTGTCCTGCCCTCAGGCAAGGGAGCTAAGCTTTTACACATCACCCCTCTCCCATCAACCAGTACTTGCGTGTGTGCTCTTCCCCACTAGGGGGCATGACCTTGAGTTTAGGGCAATGTTTAGTTTTGGGCAATTTCAAGAGAAGGATTCAGCTGATAGCTCTCAGCTGCTAAAACTCTCAGCAGCTGGAGGAATGAGCGCTTCAGTCCTGAGGAAGGGATCTGGCCGGTGCATTATAGCATCCATTCAGATCTACTCGCTAGCTACGGTAATTCACTCTGCATGAGAAAAGCTACTCGAGGATTTTGGTTAGTCACCTTTTCTGGGGAAACTTTCAAAAGGAACTCTAGTGGGGTGATATTCACCATCTCCTTCTACTATTACCATTCTAGACTGTTCTCATTCTGGTCTAGTACATCTTTTGGTATAAGTAGCTTACCTAGTAAGGTTACCAGACCTTTGTCACTGAGTATTTTCAACCCTGGGTCACTGTGCCCTTCTCAAGCCATTGCTGATGCACTTGACTGTTTGTCTCCAAAATTAGACAAAAGAATATGAAGAAATGACTCAGTGGATCAACTGGGTATCAAACATGTTCTTCACTGCCTCACTGTGTAACAACAGCCCTACCCCTGGCTGATCACACAGGCCAGTTCCTTCTGCCAGGATGGTGACACCTCTTAGCTGCTGTTTCCCAATAAAGGAAGCCTAAGGTAACTGAGTAGCAGCCACGGCTTAAGGATTAATGGGACTCTTGCTGTGCCAGTTAAGAGAAGCTTTTGCCCCTTCTGAGAACTAGGACTTCTAAGCTGGCAGAACCCAGAGTTGCGGGAAGGGAAGCACAGAGTCCCTAGCTGGGTCACTGAGTGTGGTGGTAGTAAGTAGGGTCACTCCTTGGTTCTTGAACCCATGTATTCTACAGAAGAAAAAAAAGGGTCATATAATAATGGTCATTGATTTTGAATGTATATTGCATCTTGGAGGACAGCACTCCCTCCTTACCAGATATTCTCTCTCTAAGACACAGCTGTCTCTTCCAAAGACCATTCTATCATGCTAGTAAGTTGGCATTTTTAGGCAGTATAGAATACGATATGATCAGAGAAGCCCATGGCAATGTGCCTACTGCTACATCTTCACTGCTGTGAAATGTGCTTCTGGTCCCATGAGTGGCTAGCTAGGATCCTGTGTTAAGAATAAAACCCTCTAAAAACCTTTGGATAGGGCTGCTGCTGGCTGATGTCAGCAGAAAAATCCATACTCAGAATTTATGTCAAATTCAGCCAAAATGATGAACTGTCACTTTTAGGGTTAAAAAGGTGTAATGTATTCAATTTTCTACCAAGGGATTAACCAGAATTCTTGAAGGATAGTGCTTTATCAAGAGCCAAGTGTTGTTCTCTGTTGCTGCCAGGTTAGATACGCAGTAGCGGCAGTAGAGTCATCAGCCTTTACAGATGATAACCCACGTTTCAAGCTTATTCAGAGCCTACAAGCTCTGACTCCAAGGGCCAAGGAATCAATACGGAGGTTCTGACAAGTACTATGTTCATTCCAATCACACAGTTAGAGACTGGGTAAATGACAACAGGGTGGGGATCTGTGGACTAGGAGACCCAATGTGAGCCAGCTGTGGGCCACGACTCCGTTTATTACCTGGCACCCAAATGACCAACTCTAATAGTACAAGGACTTGAATATTCTGTAGAATCTTAGGTGTCAAGGTCAACTTGGATGGGATGTATCACCGTCCTCAAAATGTTTCAGAAGTACCCTTTTCCTAGTATAGTTATTCAAGTATATGAATATAGGTTCTTTTGAGAAAGAATTGGGAGAATTATTACCATATACATTTGCTGTGGTCTTGCAGGGTTCTTTCTGGTGACTGTCTCCCCTCTAGTCAAAGAGTTCAAGGTCTGAAAA